CAATAAAGCTGTTACCAAATAAGTGTTACCATCTAAATATTAATCACTATCAGAGTTCCTAGATTTCACAAGTAAAAATACAAATATTGCATGGTTAATACTTATATGAAAAGTCATTCAATGTTTATCTTAAGTTCAAATTAAACTGGATGTCCTGTATTTTGTCTGGTAAGCCTACTCCCAAATCTAATGTCTACAACCTAGAACAGATTATCCTCAGCTCAAAACCCACGTGTCCAGCTATGTAACAGGCGGCTCTATTTGGTTACCCTCCAAATGTCAAACCAACGTAAACACCTTTCTTCTGGGGAGATATTCAAAATGTGTAAACCTTAGGGCTTTTCAGGTCTCCTGGAGCTCCCCCCACAACCCCTAACGGCCTGGCATAAACAATTGAGTGGTCGGATGAGGGGGTCAGTGGGGGATGGTGTCTAGAAGCTGGGGCCAGCAATTACTTAACAAACAATGGGGAGGAGTTCCAATATGTTAACCAACAGGACACAGGCTGGCGAGGACAGGGTCAATATCGGCCTCCCTTTCTCACGACAAAATCAGCTTCCCTCTCCCAATACTCTGCCACCAGCATCTCTGACTGGGACACTTCACGCCCTATGCCAACTACACAGCACGCTAATTTCCTTCTACAAGAAAAATCTCATGTCTTCATTCCCCTGCTTTAAACTTCTCAATGCAATGAATAAAGTCAAAGCCATTCAGGAACAGGTCTCTGCTCCCCACACCCTTCTTTACTTTTAAGTACCAGCCAAGACAATCTGTCAGCCTCCATCCTAAAGACACAATGCTCATTCATGCCTCCAGGTGTCCCATCCACCCCCCTATACATGCTTACCTAGGCAACTCCTATTTAACACATAGGTTTTAGCTTAAAATACCAAATCCTCCACGAGCCCCTCTCTGAGGCCAGCACTGAGTTAGGCACCTAGTGCCTCGCATCGAAAGCTCTACACACGACCTATCATAGAAAATTGTAACTGCCCATCCCCTCCTCTATGACCCCTCTGAGAGACTGGAGACTCTGCAAAGCAAGGGACTGCGCCTGCTCCCTTGGGAATTTTAGCCCTAGTGGCCTACACAGCATCTGGCACACAGTAAGAACTCCACAAGGACACTAGGAATCAAGCAGTCAATTATCAACAGTTAAAACTATGTAACTAAATGTTGTAAGAGTCTAGTTGAGGATTATCATTGTTCCTTTAAGACTAAAATCTCAGAAATGCACACAATAATTCAACCATATCAGGAAAATTGTCTCAAAAACAATCACCCTATGTTTTGTTGAAATACTTCAGAATTCCAAGAAACATAAAATTTAGATTACTACCTTTTTTCCTCCTGTCCCCATACATATATGCAATTATTTAAAAAGGTAGAGGGGCCGGCCCCATGGTTGAGTTGGGGGGGGTGGGGAATAAAGCAGGAAAAAAAAACACCATAAATATTGGCAACAGTTGTTAGCTCAGGTGCCAATCTTTAAAAAAAAAAAAAAAAAAGGTAGAGAAAACATATGCAACTCTTTAAAAGGCACTAAAAATCTGATATTCTTATCCTGGAAATCCAACACAATTGTGAAAAAGAAACAAAAATTTCTTGAGGAAACAGAACTACCAACCTCATTGAAAATAAATATACTATTTAAGCAAGTCATTATGCCATATCTTGTTCTAGAACGAATTCACATCTGATTACAAAAATACAACACAACTAAATAAAATTTAAAGAAAATAAAGAAATCTCAATAGAAAAAACACAAGGGTAGAAGAAATTCAGAAATGAGGATAGGACACAACTATACGCTTCATGGTTCTGCATATTTGCAAAAGATGGGTCAAAAGTGTGGCTCTGTGCTGACTGGTGGAGAGTGTGAATGCTGACAGCCTCATCTCGCCACACCTTGTCTACGATATTTCCCAGGTCTGCTATCAGCATCATCTTTCTTCTAATACTTCTAAAATCTCACGCTCACTTTTTATTGTTCAACTTCTCTATTTAGAAAATTTTCTCTTAAAAAATATCCGCAGCTAACACCCTGTAGGATCACCATATTTTCTTTGCAATGATAAGCTCATAATCTACAGGATTCCTGCCAGAGAATAGCTCCGGATCCTAAGGTGGCAGGCCGTACCTATTCCCGTAATGCCAAAACTGCCTCTTCTTAAGTATATTTTACATTACACCAGACAGTTACATATATTTGAATGGTGTGGTGATTTAACAACCACTTTCTCTTTTACATAAAATAAGATGAAAATTTTGTGCTAGAATAAAATCAAGTTTTGCCTTCGCCCAGTTCTAACTCACAGACCAACAGCTTCAACTGCGGGCAAAAGAGTATAACATCAAAACACATTTTGATTCACTCTGAAACAAAACTTCTCAAACAAGTTTCTTTTGCTTTACCACAATTTATGTACAAAAGCTGAATGCTTCTATCCTCCACCCTTCAATAGAGGCCCTTGGAATACAGTTAAGTGGATTGTTCCAGCTGTTTAAACTACAATCCCATGAGCATGCCTTCTGGAGGCATTTTAGGCTTTACGCAGTTGAAAACTAATAGAATGGGTCAGTCAAAGGACACACTTGAGGTCTGCGTGTGATAAAAGCTGGGAGTGGAGAAACTATTAAGAAACCAAGAATGTGCTAGAGGTACATAATAAAACAATTTTTTTTTCTTTTTGGTGAGGAAGATTGGCCCTGAGCTAACATCTGTTGCCAATCTTCCTCTTCTTGCTTGAAGACGACTGTCCTTGAGCTAACATCCAAACCAATCTTCCTCTATTTTGTATGTGGGATGCTGCCACAGCATGGCTTGTTGAGCGGTCATGATCTCATGCCTGAGATCTGAACCCGTGAACCCCGGGCCGCTGAAGCGAAGCACACACACTTAACCACTACGCCACCACGTTGGCCCCCAAAACTAATTTTAAAAATAGATTTTATAGGAGTTACTGAAAAACATTTGGAATAAACATTATTGTGCTAAAGACTGGCAACATCAATTTCTTTGCTTCACTATTTTTATAAAACCAGATATCAAACCCTCCAGTATACTTTCTAACCGCTTCTTATTGACATAGACTTTAAAAAACAACCTATGCTTAAAACTCAACAGCTAGTGTAACTGAGAAACTTTTTACATTAGTTTTCTTTTTTTTTTTTTAAGATTGGCACCTGAGCTAACAACTATTGCCAATTTTTTTTTATTGCTTTTTCTCCCCAAACCCCCCCAGTACATAGTTGTATATTCTAGTTGTGGGTGCCTCTAGTTGTGCCATGTGGGACGCTGCCCCAACATGGCCTGACAAGTGGTGTCATGTCCGCGCCCAGGATTTGAACCAGCAAAACCCTGGGCCGCTGCAGCGGAGTGCAAGAACCCAACCACTCAGCCACGGGGCTGGCCCTTAGTTTTATTCTTTTAACAGAAATAATAACCAGCTCTGTCATTAGCTTTTGGTCCTTCACATGCTATGATAATCACATTTTTTCTTAATACCTAATAATGCCTACTTATATTTCCCTAACCAATGAAAGTATCAAAGAACTAAGATTTTCCATTATTTTACTCGAAACTCACAATCTTGTCAATAGATATTATAATTTCCATTTTATAGATAAGGAAACTGAGATAGCAGCCACATTATCAATAAATAGAAACACACATGCACCCATTGTTTTGTGACAGGTTTGTTTAATGATTAAGGGGTGATAAGGCCATTTTAAATACATTTTATTCTTTCTACCAAAAGATCAAATCAACCTAAACAAACCCCTAGCTATTCAAGTTCCACACATTTAACACAGGAATATTGTCACGGTTGCCTCATTACATCATAAACTTCATCAAGTATAATCCCAAGACCATTGCTAACACATCCTGAGAGAGTAACTAAACTACCTAAAATTGTTCAGAACACAAACACACCTTGGCAATTACATGAAAACCAAATAAATACATAAACAAAGCACTCTAGTCTTTAAATGTACTGCTAGGAAAATGCCACATATCAACACTTGTCCTTCTTGAGAACTGCCACTGCTTGAGGCACGCAAATTTGACAAGAAAAAAATGTGTCGTAAGAATTTTCCTGTCCTGTGAAGCAAGTGCGCCTCAGAAGTTGCTCATTTTCAAACACTACACATCGATTCAAAGCCTCTTATCACGACAGACAACCGTAACAAATTCAGCTGAATTGAGTGTCGGTCCAGGCATTGCTGCAGCATCACAGGTTTCTATCTCCTACGGACGCAAGCAAGACTGAATTTCTTTCAGCTCGAGTTAAATGAGTGAAAATGCAATTCATATTTCCAGAAGCAAGAGTGGTGTATTTTCCAGTAAGTTTCTTGTTCTCATTCTACTATTTTAAGAGTTCTGATCATTCTCAGTGTTGCCGTGTGGCAAGATCTGATTTCTGGTGGCTGATCATTTTCGTGGCATGATCCTTTACTAAAACGGTCTCCAAAAGCTGTTTCTATTCATATTTAGCTTCAGCGTATTTATACACAAAATACCATGTCAATGGCGTTGTGCCAAGAAAAGAAATAGCTTGCTAGAATTTCAGTTGACTTTCTTAAAGGAAATTATTTTAAATTAATGTGGCTACTGAACTGCTGCCATCCTTACCCTCAGAAAATACATTCCTTCTAATTTTTGCTGTGAACATTTATTTATTTAGGTTAAATTCCGGCTCATGAATGTTGACCACAAGGAGTCCAAACCTCCCTGCTCCTACTTCATATTCTTTTTCTAAACAAGGGCAAGCACAGGTTTGCAACATTAGTATGCACAGCCAGATCACCTCCATCAAGTGAAATCATCTATGTATTTTTGGTAGAATCCTTAACTTCCATGCCCGTCAGTGAAATGGAACAAGGCTGTTTTGTTTTCAGAGGGCAACAATTTGATCTCTGGTTTACTAGATGGCACTCGAAATATTTTTCCATATGTTTTTCCACAAAGAGAATCTGACATCAGCATGGTTTACCTTTACCAGTGAATGCAGGCTTTTTTCACCAAACATATCCCAGAGGAAGGTCAGGTCTTCCTGGCTATCCACATGTGGCTGCAGCTGGGCTGGCAGAGCAGCCAACAGCTCATACAGACCTATAAAATGAAAATAAAACACAAAGCGTAATCTTAGAGTGATCTCATTAATTTCGCTTAAGGTGTGTATAAATGACAGCTGGAACACGTCGTTTTTACTGGATTTGTATTCTGGGCCATCAAGCTCAACACTTCTCCAGAGAAGCAAAGGAAGCTTTTAGATTTTTAAATTCCAAAGAAGTACGTATTAACAGGCTAGTTATTACCGTTCACTGTTGTCAACATTCTACAGTCATCCAAGGTTACATAACCCGAGAGAAGATGTGTACGAGCTTTCAAAAAAAGAAGAAAACGCATACATTCCTTTCCTTAATCGTTATTACATTTCCCTCAAAGTTAGCCAGAGTGAAATGAGTCATGAATAGGAAAAACTTCCTTAGAAGAGCAGAAAATTGATAGAGTAGTCCATTAAAAAAGTTTTGTGGTTTCCAAATAGTTACTAATAATATATAGCTTCAAAAACATTTGCATTATCTAACATCCAAAATCAAGTTCTAAAAAGTAAGACAGAATAAAGCGTACGTGGCACTGCCTTATCGCGGTCACTCATTTTGAAAATGATGACAACAATAAACTACATAGAAACTTAATTTAACTTGGACTCTAATCGGGGGGTAAATGACGCCCTGGGAAAGAGTTAAGGCAGCAGATGCAGGTGACTCGTGCTTCTCCTCCCCAGAAGCTTCCGAGGGGCAGACAGTAGCGCAGTGTTCCACAGTAGCTACCACATACACCATCCATCTCGTTCAGGGGCCGTCAGACTCCTGTCCAAGAAATGTTGCAACAGTGCTTGCCCGAGACTCTTCAGGGAGGTGACCTGGCAGGAGTCAATATCAACTCATAGCACATGTTTCATTTTCCAGTGGGATTACATGAGGTAAAAAGGACAAAATTCCTTTTATTTCTGTCTGCTGTCTACAAAAACACCAAGACCTCCTGGGAGCCACAACACACGGGACTGTTGTTACTTCTGCTCTGAATAAGTGCTGCTGTTCATCATAGGGACAGCTTTACAAGATATTTAACTAGCAAAGAATCATAGAGTAAATTATGAGCTGCTGATTAGTATATCTATTATCTTTCTAAAGCACTATAATATTCCGATAATCAGGGATAATTTACAACCAAATGTATTAGGTTCCATTTTGAAAGTTAGATGTGTAACTTGAGAGATTCGGTTAAATTCAAACATTCCTGGGGCTGTATTTGGCCAAAAAGATCTAAAATACTCTAGAAAAAAATAACTTCTCCCAATTACGTTCTTAAGTATCCTTGGTGGTTTATATTTATTCCCTTAAAAGCCTGGCATCCTGCCTAAACTAGCGCTTATTTACAATTTAGTAAAAGTATTTTTAAGGGATCAACCTAACTCAACGTATAATAAACAGGTCTCACATTATACATATATACATATAATATATGTGTACACATATTTAAAGTAATCACAACTGCCCAGATCAGTGGTTAAGGTCAAAGGTTCAAAGTATGAAATTACATAAAAAGAAGGCAGACTTTCATTATTTTATTATTGATTTCAGGAGTAGTAAAAATAATTACCTATTCCTTGGTAATACAATTAGAGTTTGTTTAATGATACTAATTCAACAGTGATGTAATTTATGTGGCATAGTTGTTGGGAGATTAAATGAGTTAATACACTAGAACAGTTCTGGCACATGGTAAGTACTCAGTATGTTTCATACGTAACTCTGAGTTTCGGCCATTGTATTATCTATGACTACTGTTACTCATCTCTATTAGTACTAAAAAAGCAAATGTTTGGACCAAACAAACCTAGAGTCAAACCCCAGGTCTATACTTTAAGCATTTCACATAATTTACCTGAGCCTTGTTTCCCTCGCTGTGTGGAAAAAGATATATAGTAACCTAGACATGTGGCAAAATTGTACAGAACTAAATATACAAACATATATACACACACACAAATGAGCAAACGAGGGCATGTAAAACTGGTGAAATCTGGAAAAGATCAACAGATTGCATCAGTAACAATTCCCAGTGGTGACAGTCTACTACAGTTATGCAAGAAGTTACTACGGGAGGAAACTGCGTGAAGGCTACACAGGATCTCTCTGTATTATTTCTTACAACACGTGAATCTATAATTATCTCAAAATAAAGCTAAAACAAAAGAAGAAACTGTGGTAAATATGGTTGCTGTAAGAATTCAATGGAACAATGCATACGGCTGCACTTAGCCCTGTGGCTGGCAGAGTAGGCATTTGATAAAAACCAATGTTCTTCTTTCCTTAGTACGTCTCCTCTAGAATGAAAATGCCACTTCAACGCAATGGTTCAAAGTCAAAACAACAGCTTAGCTATACATTCCAACTGGACACAATACCATACTGAGAAATAAAACCAGCCTGGGCTTTTACATATGGAAAGTGTTAACTTTACCCAAGTACTGCTTAACTTTCTGTGGGGATAAGCCATATTATGTTTAAATTAAAAACAATAATAATTTCTCTGTTAGCTGAAGCTCATAAACCTGAGTTTTCTGTTTTTCACCAGCTTTATGTAATCCTAATTTACATGCCACCCTAGTTTGGCACTCTAGTAACAACAGCAGTCACTTCTCTTCAGCTCCCACATCTGGTAACCAAGACTTAAACCAGAAGAGACAGGACAGTGCCAATCAGGAAGTAAAGAGATCGTTAAAAGAGCTACTAGGCCAGAGTTGTATGTAGCCTCAATGCAGGGAACAGAGACAATCACGCCACTCAAATAAGTTATATATAGGCCTTAGAAACCGTCTCAGTCCATGACTAAAACTGGGTCTGTATTCTAACACGTGCTTTAAAATAGTGCTATATTCAATTCCTAAAGTTCCAGTAATGAAGAATACTATGAAATCCCAGCGTTTTTGGTTCTTGAGATTCAGAAGGCATGGAATGAGAGTTTAGATAGCAAGAATACCTTAAAAAGTTTTACCTAAATCTACTTGGTCCCTGCACAAGAACTGAGATGATGAAAGTTACTCTGTACTCCTCTGCAGTCATTCAAGCTCATGAATGCTTCATTCCAACAAACATTTATGGGACCTGGGAGCCAAGCACTATTCATGGCTCCAAAGGTCTAAGACACAACGTACATGATCCCCGTCCTCAGGAGTTTACAGTGTAGGGGACAAGCACAGACAAGTCCATGAGTAAGTGCAGGACAGGGTGAGGTTGCTGTTGCAAAAGCAAGGGAAGTGGCCAATTCCTCCAAAGGAGGAAGAAGACAGGAAAGCCATCAGCAAAGAACACCACCCGAGTTAGGTCTTTGAAGGCTACCATCCTAAGAATCAACATTTATGAGTTCTTCTATTCAGAGCACTACGTTAATCATTGGGATACAACTAAGTACAGAATGTACCACTACCTCTTTCTTAGAGATCTGACATCTGAGATGACACAGAACACACATCATATATGCCCAAACATAACACAATGATCTCCTATTTGCCCAGGTAAAGATCCAACACGTATTCCTCCAAGTGAAATAAATAAATGTTTAGGCTGGTGATGAACTATTCAAACATCTAGTTAATTTTCAGGGATGTTAAGAGGATGCTCATGGACTGCTTATAATATTTAAGTTATAATTTAGTTAGGAACACACACTTTGAATTACCTATTAAGTAAAAGATATTAATTTAGATATTTGGTTTTTGCCCCACTTGCACATTTCATGCAACCATTTTATTCAAATTCTTCACAGTGAAATTCTTCCTCATCACTAGTGCCCCTTGTAGACATAGAACAGGTCATTTTCACTTCTACATAAGTTATCTGAGACACAGCACTTACCTGAATATGTGGGAGATGCCCTCACTGAGGATCTGAGTAAGGCTGACTGGCTTTTCACTTGTTTTACAGGACGTTTTTAATCTCCACAACAAAACCACTTCCCTACTCTTTAAGTCTCCTTAACATTTGCAAATCTAAGATTTTTAACCCCTCTCCAAGGAATGATAACTAAATCTGGTTTACACTTGTCCCCCTTTTTAAAAACAATTCGGTCAAGTGATCTCTCAATAATCCCCAAAAATATGAATTCAGGTTATATGAGAATTAACATGGCTTCTCCATTCAATACATTTTTGCATAAGTGAATAACTGTGAAAGTTCTCTATAAGAGATTTTGTAAGGACTTCAATATAAGGAATACCTCTCTTCTCTGAGAGATCATTTTAACGTAGAAAAAAACCCCTCACCTTATACTTGGGTGCATATGATACAAGACACTGTGAAAGATACACGTGAGGCGTTTCAATAAAATTATTTCATAAATATGTTCCAGTGGAGAAAAAGCAATATTTTTAAATTAGTGTATTTTATATACCGAGAGAAAAGAAACAGCAAAACTAAAATGTCAAGGGTCACCTGATTAATATGAACAAGAATTACAGTAATTTAAAGAAGAGAGCAATCAACAAAGGTCAGCGAAGGCTACAGTGGAGCTGGCAGGATATGAGCTAGGATCTAAAGGAAGGAAAATAGGGCCTGGAAGGGGCCATTCTAGGTTAGAGAACACCCAAGGTGAAAAGTCAGCAATAATCATGTAAATCTACAGATTTTTTAAATGCACTAAACTTCTGTAATACTGAAGAAAACACTAGTGAGTACTCAAACCGATACCAGCTCAACACAAGGCTGACATAAGGGAAACCATAATGTAGAAAAGAAACCATATTGTAACTTTGAATGACCTCTGACTGACTAACCCAGGTGGACAGGCACCCTCCAGGAGATCTAACTGCTCTGTAGTTTTTTGACCCCTGCTTGTGTATATACCTCCCAGCTGCGACAAGATGATAACTTCACTCTTTTGAGTTCCTTAGGAATGTGATGAGCCCTGGACAGTGAGTCTATCCAGTGTGGCCACTCCCAGTGTGTAATACCAAAGGGTCAACATACCTAACCTCCTCCCCTATAACCCACTGGCTTATATAACTTCTTAAAGATTCTGTGCCCCACCTAAGATGGTTCTTT